GAAGCTTATGCATTGTACCATGAACTTGTATAGACCTGTAACAGTCAACTGCATGAGGAGTTGGAAAGGTAGTTCAGTAAATAATATCTTTAAAAACTACAAAAAAGTCCCTTTCTATCAGCTGTGCACCATTATGGTGTAAATACAGACTACTAATTGGATCAAATATAAAAGTCAGCCGAATTAGTGTTGATACTGCAAGGAGATGTATTGTGTGAAAAGAAATGGAAGATGTTGTTTAATTGTTGATATATTTATGGGACACGTCACGTATTCGGTTTTGGCGGCAAAAAGCACTTTCTTTCAAGATAAGATCCAATCTTCCTATTCCAATCCTAAAAAACTATTTTCCATCTTCTCCACCCTCTTGGACCCTCCAAAAGCTCCTCCCCCCTCCTCACTTCTGTCAAGCGACTTTGTTACCCACTTTGAAAAAAAGGTTAATGATATTCGCTCTTCTTTTTCTGACTCACCTTTACTCACCGCTGGGTCACCAGACCTTCCTTCCACCAACACACTAACCTCCTTTTCCCCTCTCTCTCCAAGTGAGGTTCTTACCCTCATTACCTCTGCCCGCCCTACCACCTGTCCTCTCGACCCTATCCCTTCAAACCTCCTTCAGACTATCGCTCCTGATATTCTACCGTTTCTCACCCATTTCATCAACACTTCTCTAACTTCTGGTCACTTTCCAAACAGTCTCAAGGAGGCAAGAGTAAACCCTCTCCTAAAGAAACCCACTCTCAACCCGTCTGATGTTATAAACTACAGGCCTGTCTCTCTCCTCCCGTTCCTGTCTAAATCACTTGAACGCGCTGTCTTTAAACAACTCTCCTGTTATCTCAATCAGAACAACCTTCTGGATCCGCACCAGTCTGGTTTCAAGGCAGGTCACTCCACAGAAACTGCTCTCATTGCTGTCACGGAGGAACTGCACACTGCCAAACCTGCATCCCTCTCCTCTGTCATCATCCTGTTGGACCTGTCTGCTGCATTCGACACGGTGAATCATCAGATCCTCCTTCGCACTCTCCAAAAACTTGGAGTTTCTGGCTCTGCACTTTCCCTCCTCACCTCATACCTGAAAGACCGTACCTACAGGGTGACTTGGAGAGGGTCTGAGTCCGACTCTTGTCAATTAACTACGGGGGTCCCTCAGGGCTCTGTTCTTGGTCCCCTCCTCTTCTCCTTGTACACAAACTCGCTCGGATCAGTCATTAGCCCGCATGGTTTTTCTTACCACTGCTACGCTGACGACACCCAATTAATTCTGTCCTTTCCCCGCTCAGAGACCCAGGTCGTCGCACGCATCTCTGCTTGTCTAGCTGACATCTCTCAGTGGATGTCTGCTCACCACCTCAAGCTCAACCTTGACAAGACTGAGCTGCTCTTCCTCCCGGGAAAAGATTGTCCAACTCTTGACCTGACAATCAACATCGGCACCTCAGTTGTTTCCCCGACTCAGACTGCAAGGAATCTGGGTGTGACCCTAGATAACAACCTGTCCTTCACTGCAAACATCGCTGCTACAACCCGCTGCTGCAGATACACGCTTTACAACATCAGGAAGATACGTCCCCAGCTGACTCAGAAAGCGACTCAGGTTCTGGTCCAGGCTCTCGTCATCTCACGCCTAGACTACTGCAACTCCCTCCTGGCTGGTCTACCTGCATGTGCCATCCGACCTCTGCAGCTCATCCAGAATGCAGCGGCTCGTCTGGTTTTCAACCTTCCTAAATTCTCCCACACCACTCCGCTCCTCCGCTCCCCTTCACTGGCTTCCGGTAACTGCTAGAATCCACTTCAAGACACTGGTACTTGCTTACCGTGCTGCGAATGGATCTGGCCCTTCCTACATCCAGGGACATGGTTAAACCGTACACCCCAGCGCGTGCACTACGCTCTGCATCAGCCAAACGACTCGTTGCGCCCTCGCTGCGAGGGGGACCCAAGTTCCCATCGGCGAAAACACGTGGGTTTGCTATCCTGGCTCCAAGATGGTGGAATGAGCTCCCCATTGACATCAGGACGGCAGATAGCTTGCACATCTTCCGGCGCAAACTGAAAACTCATCTCTTTCGACTCCACTTCGAGCGTTAGAACGATTAACGAAGCACTTTTATACCAATAAAGGACTGGATTACCTAAAGCCAGTTGAGTAGCACTTGAAATGTTTGGCTCTATGAAACCTGATATACTTATATGATTCTGTTTTCTTCAAGGTTGTGTCTTCCTGGTCGAATGTACTTATTGTAAGTCGCTTTGGACAAAAGCGTCAGCTAAATGCAATGTAATGTAATGTAATGTAATGGCGGCATCTCTTCTAGTTTGTCAAAAGGTCTTCTGATCAGGGCTCTATAAATAAATATCTACGGCAGATATGTAATATTTAATGCAGCCGAACCGTGTATTACAATGCCGTTATGTGATGACTTTCAAAGAGAAAAGCAAGAACACTCGGAATAAAGTATTATTTTATTTTTTTTAAATGTTTTCCGATTTCATATCACATAAACACCATATCCCGACGTGCATTGCGGCGTGATTTTAGCCTATCAAAACCTCTGAAAAAAGAAATGTGTCTCTCAGAATCGAAAGAGAAAAACCTATGGGAAAAACACAAAAGCATTGTACACAATTTAAACCAATTAATGTCGTATAATTAACTAGGATAAACTGATGTTTTGTAGTGGATGAGTACTGCAGATATCACTGTTAAATAATTTGATCATTGGTTTTATTATGAAGACGTCGAGACCGGAAATACTGTTTTCAACCCGCAACTTTACATGGAAGCTTGCCGCATATACACGTTCTGACGAAACCTCAAATCATCTTCGTAATATCTATCAAACTATAGATCCTACATATCGACTGGACGTGGATTCTAAAAGTACAATATATACTTCTCGCTAGAAATCTAATCATAAAGCGTTTTAATGGCCAAACTATCCTACAATTTAGGATTTTACAGAGAGGGTTATTTGTGAATAAACAACCCTCTGTAACGTTTGCATTCAACGGGAGCACTAGAGGCCGACAATTTTAAAACGTAATTATAGGTCGTATTAAGCGCTTGAACAAACGACATATTTGGTCGTAATACGGGCTTGAACAATCGACCCATTTGGTCGTATGAGTTGGAGGACTTGTTGTGTTTTTCACACTCCTCTCCTCCCTTTCTTCCTTGAACCTTTCCTCTCTCTTTCTTAATATAGATTTTCTTGCTAATTTAACACCTTTTGTCCCCTTTCTTTCCTCCCTGAATCGGTCCGTGCCCCTCACCTTTCCCCTCTTTCTCCATTCCTGCTTTACTATCTTTCCTAAATTCTCTTTTTTGTTTCCTCTTTCCTTTCTATCTAATTTAGCTCGGTCTCTCCTCCTTTTCCATCTCTTTTAATTTTCCTTCTGATCTGATTTGATCAATCAATGTTTATTTATATAGCCCAATATCACACATGTTACAATTTTGTCTCAGTGGACTTCAGTTTGTACAGAATATCAGTATGAGTATGACACCCTATATCCTTAGACCCTCACATCGTACAAGGAAAACCTTCCAGAGAAAACCCACAGTTTAAAGGGGAAAATGGGAGAAACCTCAGGGAGAGCAACAGAGGAGGGATCCCTCTCCCAGGACGGACAGACGTGCAATAGATGCCGTGTGTAAATTGAAAAGATAATACATTTACAGCATATAGACCGAATGTTTGGAAATGCATGTGTCTGTAATAAGAAGATCAATCCAACGAGGATGTCAACAATCCTGTGGGAGCCATCAGTGAAGTAGTATGATGAAAGTCAGGCATTGAGTCCTCCTTCCTATCATTCCCTCCCTCAACACGTCTTTTATTCTTTCCTTCTGAACGTGTTCTTTGTGTCCTCCTCCCCTCTCTTTTCTCCCTTTCCTTCTTTCATTTCATCTCTTACTCCTTGATCCATCTATCCGTCCGTCTTCCTGTGCGTTGTTCTTTTCTCCTCCCTATCGCCTTCATGCTCCCTCCCTTCCTCTTTTTCCCTGAGACGTCTGTCCTTTCCCTCTTTTCCACCTTACCTGAAATTCCCTGTCGTGTTTTTTGCCTTGTGTCATCTTCTGCAATCTCTCGTTAACCCTTTAATCCCCTTGTTGTCCTTCTTGACTTGCTCTCTTTAAGTTTTTTTCTTTCGTTCCATCCGATTCCTCTCTTCTTTCAGTCTTTCTTCTGAAATAGTTCTCTGTCTTCTTCACCTCTCCTTCTCTCCTTCTCTCTCCCTCCCTCTCATCCTTCTCTCTCCCTGCACCTGTCTTTCATCCACCACTCTTATTTTTACTGTATGTGTTTCATCCACCACTCTTTTTTGTCCTTTTACTGAAATGTTTCATTATTCCTGCTTCTTTTGTTTCATCCATCACTTTGTGCTCCACCTCTCCTTCTTGCTTCTTTAATGCTTCCTTCCCTCCTTCTTCCCTGTTTGTCTTTCTTTTCTAATTTCCCGTCCTCTCTCTTTTCCTCCTCTTTCGCCATCCTTTACGTCACCATTTATTTCATGCTTCCTTTCTCCCTTACCTTTTCCTGATCTGTCCCCCCCCCCCCCTCTGCCCATTAATCTATCTCTTGGAAGTCTGTTCCCTCCCTCCTCTTTTCCTCACTTGTTCATCCTTCCTCTTTCGTTAACTCTTGTGTCTTCCATTAAAATCCCCCCTTTTCATCCTGCTTTCCTCCCTCTTTCTTCTCCCTATGTCCTTCCCATACCCTTTCCCGACATATCTGTCCTTCCCTCCTTCCTCCCTCAAGTCTGGTTCTTGTCATTCCTCTATCTTTCACCTCCTTTCCCATCCTCTTCTATCACTCTTTCCTCCCTCTTCAGTTAGTCTGTTTTTACTTCTTCCAGATACCTTTCTCCCTTTTTCTCTCGGCCCCCTCCATCCCGGACTTTTCCCTCCCTCTTCTCTACTTCCCTGACTTGCCTCCCTCTCTCCTTGCGTCTGCCTCTCTCCTCCTCATAAGCTCTCTCTCCCCTCTCAGTCGTCGCTCGCTCGCCGTGCTGTGCGGACCTACACCAGCCACCTCTCCGCTCTCCCCCCCTGAATCTCTGTCTCTCTCTGCCTCTCTCCTCCGGTGCTCCGCTCTCTGCTATGACAGCTCACACCAGCAGCGTGTTGCCCGATCTCAGACAACCGACAACCTGTCACCGGTTATCCTGTCCAAACGTTAACATGGACATGTGTGTGTGGTATATTCGTGATTGATCGTCGGGTGTAAATATTATTTTTTGTAAAAACGAAAGAAAAAGGAGGAGGGGGGGCGGCCGTCCTCTTTTACCCCCCTCCGCTTCCTTCAGCCAAGCAGAGCGGCAAGGTGGGGAGAAGGCTTTATAATTAAGCCAGCTTGGATTTATTTAACAGGAAAATGACGGATTTGGGAGCAACGGACCTGCTGCTGATGAGGAGGGGGCTGAATGTGAAGAAGAGCGGCAGGCTGAGACGCGACCTCCCGCTTCTCCTCATGCTGGGGCTCCTCTTCGGGGATCTCTCCTCGTCCAAGGGTGAGTTTCGGAGGCTTTCGATTTGTCTGCGTGTGTGCGTGCGTGCCCATTCGCTGGCTTGCGTACATATTATGTGTGTGTGTGTGCGCGTGTTGGACGCGATCTAAATATTAGCAGGTTGGTTTGTTTGCGGGAGAGGAACACACTGGTTTTTGATTCGTGCCGTGTCGTTGTTGCGGACAGCGTTAGTGTGTCTGAGAGTGTGTTTGCAAGAGAGAGAAAGAGTTACATCTAAGCGTGTGTGCTCGCTCTCGCCTCTCTTTGGATGACGTGCGTGTGTCCTTTTTGTGCGTGCGTGCAGTAGAGAGAATGAGAGAGCTATTGCGTGTGTGCGCGCGTGAGAGAAAGAGTGCAGTGCCCAACTTGGACACAGTATACACCTGGGGAACAGTGAAGGCATCCTCATGTTGGGCCTGCTTGCTGTGCAGATATTAAAATGAATAAACCAACTTAACAATCAATCACAGATCACTTACACAGACTTCCTGCAGCTTCTTCAAGTGAGGACTGCAATGAGGGCAATCACATCTGAAACAGAAACAATTAAACATGTTGTTTGGTATCAGGCAAATCATGGCTATAAAATTAATAACCTGTGTGACAGAGAGAGATGGAGTGGATATTTCTGCTGGAGGGAATTTAGAGAGGAAATCCCACGCTTATTGTGTAATGTGATTTTGTGGAGTCACCACACACAGAGGAGCAGTTGTCTCCGTGGAGATGCTGACGGTCTGACAGGGGATTGATGCTGTGTGTCAGCAGGTCTGTGCTGGTGAGCATTTAGTGACCATGGAGGTTCCACACGTTACAGACGGATAGGGGAGAAAGTGTTAACATTCTCCTCGTTTGGTGGGAGCGTTGCTGTTCCTCTGTTTATCAATAGCTTCTCTGTGTGCACGTCTCCTCGCTGCTTTTCTCAGTGCTTGTCCCTCTGATTTTCTCTCTCAATCTCTCCCTCTCCCGTGAACACATCTGTCACATTTCCCGCTCTGCGATAAAGAACACAATTGTTTCTAGCAGTGTTAAAATTGTATGTGTGTGACAGCATTTTGTTCTTGTGCAGTGCTCATGCATTCCCCTTACCCACTGATCTATCTCTTTGTGTTACAATCTGTGCATTTATCCTGTGTGTGTGTGTGTCTTTGGAGGCGTTATCTTTATCTGAAATGCTGCCATATGCGGGCTCTCAGGATGGAACTAAAGGCATTTGAATAAAAGTGTGATTGTGGGAGAGTTGACTATGTTGATGAATGTGATTATGGTGCGTTTGAGCTGTTTGTGATTGAGGCAACTGCATCTTATAACCTACGATTTATCTTTCATTCCAATCTATGTGCACTTGTTTGTGTCTGTTTCCTACGCTGTTTATCAGTTTGAAAATCTGCATTTATATTTGACAGATCCCCCCCCCACAATAATAAGCAGTTTTGTAGTGACAGTATGTACGCTGCAGATTCTATATTAGATTATTTTTTATCAATTTCAACCGCAAGAAAATGCTGAACATGTCACTTGTAATTTAATTGTTTAATCCATTATCTGAAAACCCTGACCATGACAACAAATTAAGCTTTTCCCTGTCAATTATTGCTGTGTGATGTGTGCATCCCTGCAGCTATTTAAGTTATTATATTTAGAGTTAAACACAGAGGAAGACACTAGGAGAAAATGAAAGGGCAGACAGACATCTGGAAAGACAGACGGAGGTTGGCAATAATTTATTTCGTCAAACCCCAGATGGTTGCCAGCCTTTTAAATGTGATGTTGCACTTTAAGTTCCAACACTCGACTAATTATTGATATTCTCGAAATGTCACTTAAGAAATGGCATAAAAAGTCAGGTATCTTCAGGCATGAACTGAAGAACAAATAAACAACCGAGGCATTATGAAGATTAAGGAACAAGTTCTCTGATGTTGTTGATTATTTTTTCCACATTTAACATCATTGAGTAATATGTTCTCAACCCCTCAGTGAGCTTCTGTAAGGGGATGTCTATGTTCTGCTTGTCTTACTGTAATTATAATTTGTAGTAATTAAGTAAACTACTCGTAATAATAATCAACACATTCACATTCATCCTAAATCTCAAATAAATACATTTGTTAATTCATAAAAGTATATTTTCAATCATCATTATACAACATTTGTTATGGTATGTGTCCTGCTTCTTTAAAATCTTTACATTTAGCTGACAAACAGTGCGACACAGAAAAACACATTCAGCTTATCTATCAACAGGTTGTTTCAGCCAAGAAACGTCCGAAAACAGTCCCGCTGTGATGTTAATTCCTATCAAACCCAGCCAGTACTTATATCATTTCTATATTGTTAACCACAGGTTACAGGGGACTGTGCAAAAGAAACACACACAACGCGCGTGCATGCGCACACACACACACACACACACACACACACACACACACACACACACACACACACACACACACACACACACACACACACACACACACACACACACACACACAATTAGCTGACAATGAATCAATGCCAACCAACATAAATGGGACTAGCTGTCTGTCCCCCTGACTGGCATACCAATATCACACTCACACTCACACTCACACACACACACACACACACACACACACACACAACACACACACACACACACACACACACACACACACACACACACACACACACACACACACACACACACACACACACACACACACACTTCTCCTGTGGATGAGTAGATGGCTAATTAAAACAGGGCTATCTTCCCAATTTAAATTCACATAAAACCGAGGGTATTAGACATAAGCTGTGTGGAAATGGATGTCTAAGGCATTGACCAAAAAAATCCATAAGTATTTTATTTAATCTTGACCTTCTTCAAGTAAAGACCACAATGTAGCTATTCCAGCACCTTTGGATCCATATCCTTCTTACATGTCTTTACTGCGGTATAATCTCCTGCCCATACGACAGGCTGTTATCGAAGGGAGTCGTTCCTGCCACAGGTCACATGCTGACACCTACGGCTCTTTTGGGATAAAGAGAGTAGCTTTGTGAATAAATAACTTAGTGGACTCTGTATGTTTAATATTATGAACATATATTTGAGAATCATTTAAAAGGTTAGAACTCTTTATTTTAAGTCCATCCAATAAGCGTTGATTAGTATCTAAAGTAATGGTTTATTAAACACTTTAAGCAGTGTTCTCCTCCTGTGGAATCCAGTAAGTGGACGGTGCTTTAGAAAACAGGTAATTCATGACAATATAATTGCTTAACATGCGGTATTACAATTACATCAAATTGTAGATTTCCTGGGATTCAACATACAGTAGGTGAAGTTTTCCATCTAGAACAGAACAAAGGGCTCAAGATAATTACAGGATATATTCTGAAAATCAATAGTTAACGTGCTCGCCAGATGCTCAACAATCCTCATGAGGACAATACCCTGCCTCGCAGAAGAACATGTGTTCGTGTGCATATTTGCTGGTGTCTGTATTTTTGTATATATAATACTTTTATTTGCAGCTTACTTTAAATTAAAAAAGCGTTGTGGGATTCCCTCTTTGTGTGTGTTTGTGTGTTTTAATATGATTTGCTTCCTATGAGAAGCCTGGGAGCTCTAACTTTCACCTCTACGTGGGAGAGACAGACTAAAAGGCACATGCACAGAAACAGAGACATTTTGTCCAATGTGTTGAGGTGCTTGTATAATCATTATCCCCTCAGCCTGACTAAAGTTACACACTATTCTTTTGAAACAATCTGAGCTTAAAAAAAGATGATGAAACTGTGTGTGTGTGAAAGGCTCGCTCACCTGCAACAGAATGAGCGAGAAATCTCATTGAGTACTGATCCTTTTCAGGTACTTGAGGGTCCTTCTAGTGTTCTCACTGGACCACACACGGCAATACATTACACTTAACTACGATATAGTACACAGTTCAATGGAGAGCAAAGAGGTGGTGTGTGAATGTGTGTGTAAGAGAGACACAGTGGAGATAAAGAGAGATATAATGCAGTGGTTCCCAAACGGTGTGCCGCGAGGCAAGTCCGGGTGTGCCGTGGGATTTTGTGACAACCATACGTTATTATTGCAATATACAACTACACAAAAATAATTATTTTTTAATTTACTATATCAGTACTTTCCTATATGTACGTAATCTGCGCGACTTGTGCGTCCACATCTCCACGTGCAGTGCTGCATAAACATGGCTGAGTCAGTGATACATTTCGAGGGGTGGAGGTATGCCCATTACTTTGAGTTGGTCCGAAGAATAGACAGGAATGTGACGGTGAGGTGCAAACTGTGTCCAGGCCAGAAGCTGTTATCCACTGCTGGAAACACCACGTGGTCAAACCTCAACAAACACCTGCAAAGAACACATGCTAAGGTGAAGCTACCGCACACGCTATTTGTTGTTTGTTTATATCACGTAGCCTGTTCTTCTTCTCTGTCTTCCGGTTGTTGCCTGTTTTGAATGACAAATACACACTACCGCCGCCTGCTGGTAAGGAAAGTTATTGCCACTCACGCATGCGCAGTTCGTACGTGCTCGGCGAGTAAAGTAACGAATTACTTTATGTAGATAGTAACGAAGTAGTGTAATACATTACATTTTTTTAGTAACGACCCCATCTCTGGAGTTGGCGTTCTCTACTCTGATTTACATGAAGAACAACAGGAGGTCACGGCTCTCTGTTGAACAGGACTTGCGAGTGGCCCTCTCCTCAGTGCCACCAAGGATTTAAAAAATCTGCGCGCCCCGACAGGCACATGTATCTCACTAATTTGTAAGTCGGCAAACATATTTACAATAGCACATGTTTCAATGCTGATTGCTGAAATGTTACATTTATAATTT